ACAGAGCGGGGAATGATGAGTTTCCGTTATTAGCACCATAGCTCAAGTGCACGTTCAGTCGTTCAAATTCTCAACCCTAATCTTCTACAGCTCAATCTTAAGAGCCTTCAAGTACTAAACAGCTTCATCCAGAACAACGACGATGTTCATTTCATTCCTATCAGGTACAATCCCTCTCAGCGCCGTCATCATCTTCTTCATTTTCTGGCGTTTCATTTCACTGTTGCAGCTACTGCTGCTACCAATGCCAGAAGACAGTTCAAGTGAGGAACGCAACCTTTCCTTTTTTTTATTAATATATTTTCTGTCGGTTTTATCCGACAAGAATGCTCTTATTTATTCTTATTAATAAATTCTCTGTCGGTTATATCCGACAGAAGTTCTGTCGGCTTTAGCCAACATAAATGCTCTTATTTATTCATTATTAATATATTCTCTTTCGGTTATATCCGACACAATTTCTGTCGTTTTAGAGTATTTTTTGTCGAAAAATTCATTTCTTGATGCTGGCAATGATGTCGCTTATTATATCCGCCACTGCATCTATTTTCTGTCGGATTTTGCTTAAAATCCGACAGTAATATACGTTTTTTGTTGGTTTTTGGACCGTCAGTTATAGATAATTTTGTAGTAGTGGAACATATGAGTAAGCAATGGTCGGATTTAGACTAGGGTTACTAATTTGTGCCATTTTCCTCTTATGGGGTTGTGAATCCTTTGAACCAAAGTGTCTGATACGCTTCAGTTTCAGACTGAGGGTACATGGATCTAAATGAGACATAATGGAGTAATCCACGATAATTCGTGGCGTTCTACATGAACGTTAGTGATCTTATCTCCTCCTAATGACATGAAGACTGTCTCATCGAGGTGAAAATCTATAAAACGTGTGGTAAAAAAATCTCCTATCAAGGGCTTTAAGTAGAAAATAATTGATGGTGAATCATAACCAACATAGATTCCCATTTTTCTTTGAGGACCCATTTTGGTACATAGTGGTGGCGCTATTGGCACATAGACTGCACACCCAAACACACGTCAATGCGAGACATCAGACTCGTATCCAGTAACCAACTGTAATGGTGAATGAGGTTAGGTAGCGATCGGCCTCAAGTGAACCAACATAGCTGCGTGCAATATTGCATGGCCTTAGGCAGATATCAGCAAGTTGATATGCATAACCAAAGTTCAAGTTATTATTTAAAGGCACTTTATGAAAGCTTTTGCCAGGCTATTTTGGGTGTGAACATGGGGTAAATGATGTTCAACTTCAATCTCAACAGACATGCAATAATCGTCAAAAGTCTGTGACGTAAACTCTCTAGCATTATCCAGTCGAATCGACTTGATCGGATAATTAGGATGGTGAGCCTTAAGCTTAATAATTTGTGCTAGGAGTTTTTGCAAATGCAGCATTACGTGTGGACAATAAGCAGACATGTGACCATCGCGTCGTTGCATCAACCAACACCATGAAGTTTTTAAATGGTTCGCACGTTGGTTGGATAGGTCCACAAATATCCTCTTAAATCTTCTGAAGAAACTTAAGAGGGTCGTGAATAATCTTTGTAAGTGAGGGTTGAATGTTCAACTTCTTCAGGGAGCATGCTTTACAAAGCAGATGGTCATGATAAGATTTTAAGTAATGCCCATGTGATACTTTAAAGATACGACACATCATATCTCATCCTGGATGTCCTATTCGATTATACCAAAGCAGAAGAGTGCTCTGGAACCCAGTCATAGGGTCGGCTGCGTGATGTGTCTCCAAGGATCGAATGGTTGTTATGTACAACCCACTCGGGGGACATTCCAACTTCTCGTGAATACACTTCTGGCCATATTCGTAAGAAGTCATACAAAGAAATTCATAACCATTCTCTTCAATGGTTTCAATATGATATTGATTATCTCGAATATCTCTAAAACTCAGCAATGTTCTGCCGGAACGTGGAGAATAGAGTGCCTCTTTAATGGTTAATTCAGTACCATTAGACAACATAATACGAGCTTTTTGTATCCTTCTATCAGATTAGATGGCTTGAGAGGGTTGTCAGAGGTGCATTTTTAGGTATGAAGTTAGTAAAACAGTGTTTCTCACACAATATGGTGTGCGTGGTGTCACTATCAGCCAAACAACTAACTTCCCCACTAGTCATACCTAGAAATAAATTAATTGAATCGGTCACATGCATAAATAAAATTCCATTCATTCAATTAATCAATTTGAGAAATAGTATCCATAAAATAATTATTAATTCAAAACAAACCAATCCAAACAAATCATTCCATAGACTTAGAAAAATTATCCAAAAAGTAAACCATAAACCTAAATTTTAAGGGAGAGGTTCGGCCATTAGGGGTATAAAAACACCCTAACATGTCTTAGAAAAATAAAACTCTATTCTTCCATGTGAGTGGATGCCTCCTGAAAAATCTGAAACCTCCAAAGTTGTAGTAATATCTTCGAGATGTTCTACATGCACAAAGTTAGTTTCACGAAGTGAATGATACTTGGCAATAGCCATGACAGGGTTTCCGTCGGTTGTGGCTGCTAAGATTAGTCGTATGCGCTTCAAGCGGAGTGTTTAAGCCAGTGGGTCAAGTTTAATAGTTGGTTCTGCTTTTCAGCGAGAAGTAAAACAGATATTAAATCCAAAAATTTGGTGAACTTATGTGCCCATATTGTTGCTGCAGGACAATATTGGTGGCATTGAAGATCAAATATGTCTTCTCCAAGAGATCCTGTTCGGTTAAGTCCTTTTTACAGAACTTAAGCAGTGATCGGATTCTACAAACTTCAGAGTTGTATTCATTCACAGACTTAAAGTCTTGGAAGCGTAAATGTTGCCAGTCATGTCTTGCTTCAGACAAGTAAATGTCTTTCTGGTGATCAAAGCAATCGGCCAAAGCGAGCCAAAGTGTGTATGGATCCTCTTCTGCGAGGTACTCGGTCTGCAGTGCATCATGGATGTGTCTACAAATGAAGATCATAGCAGTAGCTTTCTAAGCTTCGTCAACAGGTTCATCGTCGGTAGGTTCTCGATAGTAGCTCTAAGACTTTGTGTAGTAAGATGGAGCTTCACGTCTTAAACCCATTTTAGGTGTTTTCATCCAGAGACATCCAGAGCTGTGAAATCGAGCTTGTTCAAGTTTGACATGTCCCTAAAACAGAGGGTACAACAAAACGTGGTTAGTCGTATGGAAAGCCATAGACATATATCGTAGAACATGCGGGTTCTATACACATGTATTGGTTTAATTTAAGCATGGAAGCTACGGGTTTCATGTGGTAAGTTTTGAATGAAAACTGCGGGTTTTAAAGGAGCTAAATTTGAAATTACAAGTTCGATTTAATTATGAACGTTCGATTCATATATAGGGGTACCTGCAAGAACACATAAGACAATATACAATAAAAAATGTAGTGAATTTGTGGATTGCTTCAAGAACTCAAGTGTGAGTGCATTGGGACTACGAAAGATAGTTAACTGTTCAAAGAAATGAAATAATTTATTGAATCATTAATTGCCAAAAAGTGAACTTCAAGTCAATAATTTTGGATTAATTATTAAATTAATGGACTGCTGGTCACTTTAATTATTTCAATAGATCATAACCGCTCAGGTTTGATCGTAGAAGCAAAAATCATAATAACATTCGGGTTAAAATTATAGCCCAATCTTGGTGGGCTTGGGTGCTGTGTGCAGGGTAATGCCTTAAAAGAGGTTTAATGGGCCACGGGTTAGCTGTGGAACAACCCAATCATGGCTGCAGGCCATGGACCGTGTGTGTGGGACAGGCCCAGCAGCAAAGTTGTTGGTTTGTGGGCCACAAAAGGTGCATGTGCATAGACCCAACACGAAGCTAGCCCGTGATGGGTGTGTGCGAAACCCATCGAGAGCTAGCTTCGTTGTGGGCGTTCTAGGCAAGCCCAGCCACATGGGCTGGCTTTAGTGATCGCTGGCCGAGTTAGATGGCGAGCCCAACAAGCAAAGCTTGTTGGCTTGATGGGCCGAGACAAGGACAGAGTCCAGCAAAGGCTTGCTGGCCTACTGGAGTGGACTCAAGGCTTCAGGTCCTGCATAAACCAACCCAGGCCGAGGCCTAGTTGCAGCACAGTGGCAGCAAGCCCATAAGGCTATTGCGAGAGGTCCATGGCGTCGAAACGATGCTGTTCCTAGCTGTGGCGTGGAGCCATGACTCAACTGCGAAAAATCCCAAATTTTTTTTTTAATTCTAGGGATAAAAACCCTAATTGCTTTTAAATTAATTTCGATGCATTGACTCACAAATTCCACATAGCATAATTGCGTATTGCATGAACAAATATATATATATATATATATATATATATATATATATTGACAAAATATTTGAACACATATGCAATATATATATAATTGAAAGTAAAATATAAATATAAGGGGTTCATGCATCATGGAAATATTTTCATGCTTCATAGTCATTTCAAATATCTTAATTTATTTTAAAAGAACCTGATTGGCAGACAATAATTGAAAGCCCTTAATGTTGTAGAAGAAAGTCTCATCCACGATCCTTCAGTTCCTTAGTTTCTGGTAAGAGCATGTTGATAACGTGTTGTAGGCCTAATTTACTGAAATGTATTTAAGACTAGAGAGGGAGAGGGCCGGCGGCAAGAGAGAGAAGAGAGAGATGTAATTCTGAAGTATGTGTTATATCATTCCATTATGCCCTTATTTATAGTAGTAGGATATGTTAAATCCTTATCCTTTTAGGATTGCAATTCTAATAGGATATTAACTACTAAAAAGAATATTTCAAGATATCCTATACACATTAGAATTTACACAATCATATTCCTAAGATGAAACAAAAATAACATTATCGGATCTAAAATGATTCGCTTTTTAGTATTTTCAACTTTTAACAGTATCAGATTAGGTGCTAGACATGTGTCAACAAATCACACAAGTCACAGGCTTGGCCGAGGCTCCTTGAGCCCAGCAGACATGGACTTTACCGAGTTTGGGACCCAAATAAATCTCGTTTATTGGTGCTAGCCTAGCCAGCTCCAACTCAAGTGCACCCAGTTGACTGAACGATTTACGCATCTGCTCTCCATTTCTTCCTCAACAACGCCATACATACCAGACGAGTACGTCTCTTAATTACCTTAATTGTTTCTCAATAATTCATCGTTTTAGTTTCTGGGTATTCATAGTTTGTCAGGTTTGACAAATGGGTTCTGATTGTTTATCGTTTTCTCCTGCTTTGGTTCTTGGTTTCGTAGATTCTGTATATTTCGTACTTTGTATTAGAATTTCGTAGCTTTTAGAAATATGGATGTGGGAAAGTTGATTTATTTTTCTCTGATTCTTAAATTTCCATCACAGTACGAGTTGGATATCGTTAATCGTTAGGACTATTGCAAAAATGTATAAGGGGTGAGTAAGGAGATATGGTTTCTGGAGCAGCGATGGTAGGGAGAGATGGTGGAAAGCTAGGAAGCAGGTTGGAAGTGATGATATTGACGAGTGAATGATTGAGATCAGCTAAACTAAAACTAAAAGCAACTATATACGAGTTCTTTACAGGATTTCCCATTTGTGTTGAGTCCACAAATCAGAATATTGCGTAGCGGATTCGGTCAAATGTGATTAATGATTTCCTGGAAGGAAATCTAGATTGACTTCTTTGGAAATTGTGTCTTCGGTTTTGGTTTATGGTTCCAGACGGTTACTTGTTATCGGCAAGTTTGGACTCAAATTTGAAATAAGTTTTAGATGGACTTGTTTGTCTCTCGTTGTGGCTGTTTTGAGTGCGTTAAAATGGGATGTGATGCACTCTGCTGTGATTAGTAATTAGTTCAAGTTTAATGGATTATAAGCCTACAAATATATTCACTATTTTTAGTCTAAGTTTATGGAGTTGCAGAAGATTGTTATTTGTAGATTATATAAACCCTGTGTTATCAACTGAACCTTTTCTTTACCTTTGGGGTTTGTATTGCATGCACCGTCCATTATGATCTTTGGGGTTCAGTTGATGTCAAATTTATTGTTGCAATTGATCATATCTATTTTGTTCTGTTTGGTTTTTCATCTGTAGGTTATTCGCAACTTTAATCTCTTAGCATCGAAATGGGGAGTGTCAATGACGACAAGCTCAGATTTTGCATTGACAGAGGGGGAACCTTCACTGATGTCTATGCTGAGATCCCAGGTCAGCCTGATGGACGGGTTTTAAAACTTTTGTCTGTAGATCCATCAAACTACGACGATGCTCCTGTCGAAGGAATTCGGAGGATTCTTGAAGAGTTTACGGGGAAGAAAATTCCCCGTGCTTCAAAAATTCCCACTGATAAGATAGAGTGGATAAGAATGGGTACGACTGTAGCAACTAATGCACTTTTGGAAAGAAAAGGGGAAAGGATTGCTCTTTGTGTGACTCGAGGTTTTCGTGATTTGCTTCAGATTGGCAACCAGGCTCGTCCCAAGATATTTGACCTCACTGTATCAAAACCATCAAACCTTTATGAGGAGGTTATTGAAGTTGATGAGAGAGTTGAGCTTGCTCGTGATAATGAAGATTCTTCTTCTTCACCATCATTAGTTAAGGGGATTTCTGGTGAGATGGTTAGAGTTGTAAAGCCTATTGATGTAGAAACTTTGAAACCGTTACTCCAAGGTTTGTTGAAGAAGGGCATTAGCTGTTTGGCTGTTGTGTTAATGCATTCATATACTTACCCACAACATGAAGTAGCGGTTGCAAGCCTAGCGGAGAATTTGGGCTTCAGACATGTGTCCTTATCTTCAGCGTTGACACCCATGGTTCGAGCTGTTCCTCGGGGTCTAACAGCTAGTGTTGATGCATATTTGACGCCAGTAATTAAAGAGTATCTAACAGGGTTTATGTCAAAATTTGATGAAGGGGTGGAGAAGGTGAATGTTTTGTTTATGCAATCTGATGGTGGACTTGCACCAGAAAGTCGATTTTCAGGGCATAAAGCTGTTTTATCTGGTCCTGCTGGTGGGGTTGTGGGTTACTCACAAACACTTTTTGGGCTTGAAACTGAGAAACCTCTCATTGGGTTTGACATGGGTGGCACATCTACAGATGTGAGCCGTTATGCTGGGACTTATGAACAAGTCCTGGAAACCCAGATTGCAGGTACCATAATACAAGCACCTCAGCTTGACATAAGTACAGTAGCTGCTGGTGGTGGATCAAAGTTGAAGTTCCAGTTTGGATCTTTCCGGGTAGGACCGGAATCAGTGGGTGCACATCCTGGTCCAGTATGTTACCGGAAAGGTGGGGAGTTGGCAGTTACAGATGCAAACTTAGTTCTCGGATATGTAATTCCTGATTATTTCCCACCAATATTTGGGCTCAATGAAGATGAGCCTCTAGATATCAAGGCAACAAGAGACAAGTTTGCAAACCTTGCAAGCCAAATAAATTCCTACCGGAAAAGCCAGGATCCATCTGCAAAGGACATGACAGTGGAGGACATTGCACTGGGATTTGTAAATGTTGCCAATGAGACTATGTGCCGTCCGATAAGGCAGTTAACGGAGATGAAGGGCCATGAAACAAGGAACCATGCCCTTGCTTGCTTTGGAGGTGCTGGGCCTCAGCATGCCTGTGCAATTGCTAGATCATTGGGTATGAAAGAAGTACTTATACACAGATTTTGTGGAATCTTAAGTGCTTATGGGATGGGATTGGCAGATGTTGTAGAAGACGCACAGGAGCCTTACTCTGCAGTTTACAGTCTTAAATCTGTCGAGGAAGCCTCTCACAGGGAAGCTACTTTATTGAATCAAGTAAAGAAGAAGCTGCACGATCAAGGTTTTAAAGATGAAAACATGACAACAGAGACATATCTGAATTTGAGATATGAAGGTACGGACACCTCAATCATGGTTAAGAAACGAATTTCTGAAGATGGGAGAGGATTTAACTATGATATTGACTTTGTGGAACTATTCCAGCAGGAGTATGGTTTTAAATTACTGAATAGGAATATCCTAAAATGTGATGTTAGGGTTCGTGGGGTAGGTGTCACTAATATATTGAAGCCCCTGCCTGTGGAATCTACCTCATGTTCTCCTAAAGTTGAAGGTAATTACAAGGTTTATTTTGGGAGTGGGTGGCAGGAAACACCTCTATACAAGCTTGAGAAACTCGGGTATGGGCATATCTTGCCTGGCCCGGCAATAATCATGAATGGGAATAGTACTGTAATAGTAGAACCTAAATGTAAAGCTATAATAACCAAATATGGTAACATTAGAATTGAAATTGACTCTACTCCAAGCACCATGAAAGTAGCGGACAAAGTTGCTAATGTTGTGCAGCTCTCAATCTTCAATCATAGATTTATGGGTATAGCTGAACAGATGGGAAGGACCCTGCAGAGAACTTCCATATCAACCAATATCAAGGAGCGGCTAGATTTCTCTTGTGCCCTCTTTGGACCTGATGGGGGACTAGTTGCCAATGCCCCTCATGTCCCTGTGCATTTAGGAGCAATGTCCAGTACTGTCCGGTGGCAGATCAATTACTGGGGTGACAACTTGGATGAAGGAGATGTTTTGGTCACCAATCATCCTTGTGCCGGAGGTAGTCATCTTCCTGATATAACTGTTATTACCCCTGTATTTGATAATGGAAGGCTGGTGTTTTTTGTGGCGAGTAGAGGGCATCATGCAGAGATTGGGGGTATTACTCCTGGAAGCATGCCACCTTTTTCCAAATCTATATGGGAAGAAGGGGCTGCCATAAAAGCATTCAAGCTTGTGGAAAAGGGAATTTTTCAAGAAGAAGGGATCATTCGACTTCTTCGATTCCCCTGTTCTGATGAATTGGTTCAAAAGATCCCAGGCACTCGCAGGATTCAAGATAATCTGTCAGATCTTCGAGCTCAAGTAGCTGCGAACCAGAGGGGAATTACACTTATCAAAGAGCTTATTGAGCAGTATGGTTTGGACACTGTTCAGGCTTACATGACCTATGTACAGCTAAATGCAGAAGAAGCAGTGAGAGAAATGCTTAAGTCTGTTGCTGCTAGAGTTTTATCTCAGTCGGCTAGTTCTGGAGATCAGAGTTCTGTTACTATTGAAGAAGAGGATTACATGGATGATGGATCCGTTATTCATTTGAAACTTACAATTGATTCTGTTAAAGGGGAAGCAAATTTTGATTTCAGTGGAACCAGTCCGGAAGTATATGGGAATTGGAATGCTCCAGAAGCCGTAACTGCTGCAGCAGTTATATACTGTCTTCGCTGCTTGGTGGATGTTGACATTCCTCTAAATCAAGGTTGTTTGGCTCCTGTGAAAATCTATATTCCACCAGGCTCTTTCCTTTCTCCAAGTGATAAGGCTGCTGTCGTGGGTGGTAACGTTCTCACTTCTCAGAGAATAACTGACGTTGTGCTTACTGCATTCCAAGCTTGTGCTTGTTCACAGGGTTGTATGAATAATCTCACTTTTGGGGATAATACATTTGGTTATTATGAAACAATCGGAGGTGGGAGTGGAGCTGGTCCAACTTGGGATGGGACGAGTGGAGTGCAGTGTCATATGACCAATACCCGAATGACTGATCCAGAAATTTTTGAACAGAGATATCCTGTTCTTTTGCATAAATTTGGCCTGAGAGAGAACAGCGGTGGAGTTGGGTATCATAGAGGGGGTGATGGGCTTGTAAGGGAGATAGAGTTCAAGCGCCCAATTGTTGTGAGCATTCTTTCAGAGAGGCGTGTTCACGCACCAAGGGGGTTGAAAGGAGGGAAAGATGGTGCTCGGGGGGCTAACTTCCTAATCACAAAAGATAAGCGAAGGGTTTATCTTGGCGGGAAGAACACGGTTGAAGTGCAGTCAGGGGAAATTCTTCAGATTTTAACTCCTGGTGGTGGTGGATGGGGCTCTCCTCGTTGATGCCGAGTCTTGATATGTCTAGCATGTTTCTCTTTACATCACTATCTGGTAAGATTTTAGTATTTGTGGTCACCTTCATGTTTTCCAGTTGATACTTGGTAAATTTGATTTCCAAATAAATCCGTCGTGATAAAAAATTTGAGAGAACATATCATAAATTTGATACTGCAGCTATTCCATTTGATGTTGTTAATGAAATAAAATTCAGTTACCAACCTTTTACTTTCATCTGCTAAACTTAGTTACTCTACTAATTCTTTTTGTCAAACCTTTCATTGTTTGGTGTTTTTTTATCCAACGATTTCTTGTCAATGAGAATTGGACTCAGAACCTCCTCCGGATTTGGTTCCTTTGCATTCATGCTACGGAGCTGCATACTCAGTTGCCTCTTTTGTTTCCCGGTGTCGTGGCCGCCATAATTGGAATGTAGTTGTGCCGAGTTTGCTCTTTAACGTTCTAGCAAGCGATGTAAATATTTTTAATTCACATCTAACGAAAGGTCCTATATAAAAGGCTCAGACCTCCTTCGTCGAGTAAAGTTCAAATTTTGTGTCACTAGACCAAATGTTCAATGATTCGTTTTGTCAAACTTTATTTAACAAAACAAACCTCTCTACATTATTGTTTCTCTTCACCATCTCTTGGGGAGTTTGGAGGTAGTTGGCAATTGTAGAAGGTCCTAGAAAGTCAAAAAGCAAATAAGACCAGTTCTGTTAGTTCAACTAACATAACAAGACCGAAAGCATAAAATTTAGGACAGTCACTTCCTCTCTCTTCTAATATCGCCTTACATAAAATAAAAAGTAGCGAAAAAAACGTAAAAATACAAAAAGAGCATTTTCGTCGTCGTCGTTATTTCTTTTTAACTCTGTTAAGGTAGGTGATTTGTACGTAAATAAAACAATTAATCAGTTTATAACAATGCCATGCAGTTACAAACCAGCCCCGCTTTCACCGCTCTGTTTTGAAACCTTCCCACCACCGGATATATCCTCCATAATTCCCATCCACCACTTTGTTGGATTCCGGCAACAACTTGACTCGATCTAACAAAAAAAAATCAACAAAGAGAGACAAGAACAATTACACAGAACTCTGAAAACATTGTCGGTCGCGCCGCAGAAGAAGGATCATTGTCTCTTTTTCTTTACCTTCGATGGAGGAAAAGAAAGGAGATGCTAGAGTCTCTGTCATCTCCGGTCTCTTCTTCGTCTGCATTATCGCCGGCGGAGTATTTCTTTTCCTTTACATGCTTCTACCCGAAGAAAAAACCCAACCATGGTACCCCTTTGTAGGAATGGTGCTTGTGGCTATTCCATGGGCATTTTGGATCATGACATGTCTCTACAGATGCTTTAGGCCCGCCGGGGCCATGCATACCGGGGACAGCGGTCGCTATGCCAAGGCAGGCAGCAGCCGGGCAGCCACCATCCCCACCACGAGCGGCGCATTGACAGCTGGCAATGCATCATCTGCGGACTCCCCTTTTCATTCACCTGATGGTGACCGAAGGGTACAGTTTGCCGGGGTTGTTGTAATGGGGAACGAAGATGAGGGTGGACGCGGAGGCCAGAACGGAAACGACAACCATCATCAAGCCATAGACATGGAACATCATGATACGATCAATGATTCAGTTGGTTCTACGGATAGTGAAATGCCGTTGAGATTAATGGTGTGATTTCTTTTTATAATGGTATGAATGTTGCCGAGTAGCGCTGTGCTGGTAGTCGATATATATCTCCGCCCCCCTGCAAATGGACTAGTCTCGTGGCAACTGCCATGGAATGGCAAGAATCATATGCAACTATGTATAACATCCTTCTCCTGCCACGGGGAACGAAAGCTCGAGGACGATTAAGTATATGGGGAGGTGAGTATGGAGTTTATTCTTGGTGTGAGTGTGACCGTGTTAATGTTGTCTGAAGAAAGCAGGAAAATATTTTAGAGGTAAACTGGAACCATGTAAAGTCTTTCCCAACAATGATCATACGTGTAGTTTGATGCTAGAAAGTGAAGTAACTAAAGAGGAAAGGTTTTCTTTGTTGTAATTTGATTTTCTTAAGCTTATTAGCATAATGTAAGTTCAGATTGTCCAATTGCTCTTCTGTTTTTCGGGAACCTCGGTTTTCTAGTTGAGTTTTAACTTTCAAGAACACCAACTTCTTTCCTCATCTAACTCTCTCATTATGCATTTCAATGAATAGCTAGATATTTGGCAAACAAATCTTAGATGGAAGGAGAATCTACACGTCACACTCCATGTTTTGGATGCACCTTCTTCTTCTTCTTCTTCTTCAATCGGCAGTTAGAATCGCACACGCTATTGATTCACCCCAACTTCCTCTCCATTTCTCTAGTGAAGCTGGTGTTCTCCTTCACCCTTATGCTCAATCTCCACAACCTGGTTCTCTTCTCTTTCCTCATCTTATAGCACTCTCTTTCAAGCTCCATCCCCTTTATGCTCATTTTCTGCATTTCGGATTCTCATTTTTCCCTCACCAACATCCAACTTTGCTTCATTCTCCTCTGCAGCCTGCTTTGTTGATCTTTCATCCGAACCCTGCACCTCCTTGATGATTGTAACCCACAGCTGCAACTGCCCTGCAAATAGAACCTGCACCACCACCCTCAGAGGCAACTTTTCATTTTTGGTAGCATGTTCACATGCTTCGGGCGACATTTCTTTAAATCCATACCTGCCACTTCCTCTTGTTCCATCTCTGTCAAGTTCCTGTGCTTATCTAAGTAGACATGAACTGCCCTGTATATTCCATTCAAGGTTCTTTGTATTCCCAACGATGCTGCATTTGACATCTCTGCTAATTCATCAAATGTATCTATCTTACCTATGTCACTGGCAACTTCAGCCAAGAATTCTTCAAATGAGTTCAGCTACTGCAACTAGCCCGGATATGTCTGAAGAAGTAAAACTCCCACAGAACACTTTCAGTATCCGCCTCAAACACCCAATCTCGTATTGCATTTCCTTGGAATAGCCTTGAGATGGTATCAAGAGGTCTTTGACTGTTGCCTGGTCCAGTTGGTTTCCAATTCTGATCTCTATCCCATTTCTACAGTCACAGCTCGCTTCCTTCCTAAAGAATAATGAAACGGAGAATAATGTGCATGGAAGTAGTCAATGTCACGAGGCAACAGCCTCTCCACTGCTTCAAGTATTTCCCTTTGATGGTTCATCTTATCTTCCTCTCCACTGCTAGAGGAAATCCATTTCCTTGTATAGTCACAAAGCGATGCAGCCACGTACGGCAATGGAACTCCATGCTTATTCATTTTAAGGATGACAGGCTCATAGAGCCGGAGGGGACAGTGTTGTCAAAAGTCTTCCGATTGCCAATCAGCCTATAGCCTTCTTCGTCATCATCCTCACTATCGTCATATCAAATTCTTCATTGGCTGTCCAATAAGGCTGGGATTAGCTAGTGCCTTTTGAATGACAGACTCTATACAGGCATCGATTAAACCGAGCTTCACGGACCATTGGAGGAACATTTCTGTGGCTCGGAAAGCCTTGATAGTTTCATTCCAGCTAGGGAGGATTCTCCCTTGAAAATAAGAAAGTGCCTTACTTAACAGATTATTTTTGCTGTGGTTTTCAGTCTTTTCCAGGTAGTGAGATACACAAATGAGAGGTACAACATTCTCAGTGGACATCTGAATTTCAAAGCCGTGGTAGAATCTGGCAACAAGCTCAAGAGGGTCTGCGATTTCCGTTTGAGTAAGGCAGCAACTTTGGCTGATTTTTCAGCCAGAAGAACCTGCAAACTGTAGCTTTGATAAAACCGTATGTCCTTTTTGTACCAGCCATACAGAACAAAAAAGTACATGATTAGATAGGGTTGTTTCAAATGCCAGTGTATATATGCATACTGTAATTTCAAGTACTCCGCAATGTTTTGTGATTGAGGAAGGAAATATGGTTTCATATTACCCTTCTAGTAAAATTGGAAAAATATATAGAAGGTTACCATGACCAATGCACGAGAATGACATAATTAGAACCGCCGACTCATTTTCAGAATTTTTTTGTTTTAGTTTGAGAAAATAATACGATATTCATTGATGAAATTAAAAACACACAAAACTTGGGAGTAGAGTGCAAAAATGAACTAAAACCTTGCTGATGATTTCCAATTTTTTTGTTGAACATTCATTCTTTTTCAAACTTTAATCATGGCGCTTTAACTAAAGGCCATGTCAGCATATTTAATTTAATTTTCATGTAATTATTGTGCTTTTTTAAACCAAAATGCCATATATTGATTTTCAAACTTGTCTTTTTAGTTGTAGGTTTTATTTTTGTTTCCTTTTTTGCTGGGATATTTTTAGTTACAAATTACTGGTGATTAATTTAGTCATCAAAATTCTCTGTTTTTTAAATCAAAATTATCTCTCTTTATTTCCTTTTTCGGTCAAACTAGTAAAAATGTCTGTGCATTGCCACGGAACTTGAATGCATTAACTTTAAGCACATGAATAAGGCACATTTAATCTGAAAAAAAAAAAGTTTCAACATAATCATGAATGAACAAAACGGATAGATGAGTGAACGGTGTCGGTAAGATAAGTAGTTCTTCTTTTACATACATTCAATCAAGTTAATTACAAAAGATTAAGTTGCAAAAAATGCTATGTTTCCCTAAGAAACAAAAGCAACATGCATTTAACACTTATATTGCACTTCAAGTTAAGATGGCAAAATATATGTTCTGCAGGTTAGACATGTGTTTTAACAACTAAACAAAACAGCAAAAAAAGTGTGTTGTTCTTGTTTCAGCAGCTAATCTTTCAAGCACTAATGTTCAAAGCAAAAAAGATGCAGGATGCCTGTTCCATAAGTTACAGAAGAAACAAAAGGAAGATGCAGTCTACACACATTTTGCCCCTGCAGTTAAGGTGGCAAAATACATGTCCTCTAGGCCAAGCACATGTTTAAGCAGTTAACAAAAAACAAAAAAAAAATGTTTCGTTGTCGTTTCAGAAAGTAAGTTTTCAAGCACACATGTTCAAAGGTAAAAACATGGAGAACGGCTTTGTAGCAGTTGATGACGAAGACTGGGGTCATTCATTTTTTATTTCTGTAGGCAGACATCTTCGGCACTATAGCAAAAAACATAAATCAGAGTTTAGCAAACATTGGTATGACAGATGTTATGCAGGCATGCGTGCGAAAAACAAATTGTAATTTACCTATCTTTGATTTTTTTGGCTTGAGACTTTGTTTTGAGTGCGGCTATCGGCTCTTGTCCATTGACTCAATCTTAGGGACAACCAGATTGTGGAATTCTCTAGCAACTCTAGCAAAATTGGTTGTCTCTGTTTGCCAGTTGCGAGGTTTTTTGCTGTGAATGAAAGTACAATTTATAAGGTCAGAGAGAATCGTGATAGGCATCGAAAAGTGTGTGAAAGAGTGGTGCAAAAGGATTGGTTAACAGTTTTTGATAAGCGGTAAAACACAAATGTATACCAAAGATAAGCAAGCATATTCATTAAGATTTACACATGAGATGATAATTGAGAGGAAAACTTTCCTATCAAATTTGTCAGCTTGATCAAGGAACAACCCTCTCTTTGAAGTCTTGGCAGGTGCAACTAATTGAGGCTATTGATCTAGCCACTAAGAAGGTGTCAATGGGGCGGGGGTCGCTTCACTCATAATTTGTTTTCCTGTGGTGGCAGCTGGCATTTGTGGATCGATTGAGGCAATCGTTGGGTTCGTGATGCGAAAATTAACTTAACACACAAATTAAACCCTCTTGTTGACAATTGTAGTATGGATAAGTAGGGATCGTTCTAAACTGGGGATTATGAGGGATTGCTAATCTACTCTACACTGACTCAAAATCTCAAAAACAAACTTAAAAACACTTAACTAGACTTTAATTACTCAAAACCTCAACAACAAACTTAAAAACACTTAACTAGACTTTAATTACTCAAAACAAACTTAAAAGACTCAAAACAACTTAAAACAACTAAATAGACTCAAACTAGACACTAGGAATGACTTTGGACGAAAATTGATTTTAACTTGACTCAAAACACTTAAAAACACAAACTAAGATATATTCTAACTAATTTGACACACTAAAGTAAAGGGGATTGGGTTTTGGACGAAATTAAAGTGAAAACAAGTGAATTAAAGACTTAAACAAAGTTGGACGAATTTGGTGAATTAAATGGATGATGGGCTAGCTAGAAGGTTCTTCTCCACACATGACACACTTGCATACAAATCAATCTCCAGTTGCTTTTTCGATAAACCATGATTAACAATGCCTCAGATTAACCGTGTCATCACTAATTAACCTTCAGATTTTCCTTAAGTCATTGAATTTGATGGAATACGCATCATCAACCCAAATCATTCTTCAATAGTCCCCTACATGCACATCATAATAGAGATACAATCAAAGATCATTAAGTTCTATGAAAATCATAAGCATTGACAAAGCATTCGTAACTATCACATCATGATACTCATGCTAGGAATTTAACTTAACGCGATCGTGACCAGCGACCTTTACTACTTGTGATATAAGTTTGTAACGATTATGTGAAACTCCCTTATATCCTAGCATCAGATTCAAGCATGCAAACTAAGTTGGCCTCCTTAATCAAAATACAAGAATAATTTTTGAATAAAATAGTTAAGAAAATTGCATTCACACTTTATGAAATCACAACTGGAATTAATCAATTCATAATGCAAATATATTCATGGTTTCGAAATTCCCCCTAGCTAAAAGGGGTTTAGCTCCTCATGTTCATAAAACAAAGATAAACAAACTTAAACATTGAAATAAAAAGATAGATTACACCTAAGAATGATCCAGCAATCCAAACTTGAATAGCAAGCACTCCAAGGGCCCTCCTTCTTCTCTTTGTTGCGGCACAAGGGTTGGGTGAAGGTTTGGATGGTGTATTGTATGGAAGAATGGTTGAAAGTGTGGAAAGTAGTGAATGGATGGATGGAAGGCTGCGGCAAAGGGTGTTTGGATGTGTTTTAGTTGTGTTGAATGATGGTGAATGATGTAAGATGTGTAGAATGGTCTAGGGATCCCCTAGAGGTGCGGCAAGGAGTTATATATATATAGTAGAGTATGTAAAAACCCTAGGAAATAAAGGCTAAGGTACGGCAAAAATAAAGGACAAAGGCTAAGTAAGTTATTATTTTTTTTTTAGGATTTCTAACTCTAAATCTGCTAGGAAAAGGCTAAGTCAAAGTCAAAGTCAAAATCCAAAGGGAAAAGGAAATAGGGTGCGGCAAAGCAAGGTAAAAAGGGAAAGGAACCTAAAAAGAAAGGGAAAGTGTTCCCCTTGTGCGGCAAGGAAGGGAAGATGCAAGGAAAGGTGCGGCAACCCCTTTGTGGCTGGGATTAGGTCTTCTAGAACCTATATTAAGTGTCCTAAGGGAACCCTCCTTAAAGCTGGAAATTAGGTGGTGAAGGATTAGGAAAGTTAAGGACAAAATAAGGTAACTTTGGCTAGCATTCCTTCTTTCTTGCTTGCATCCTTTACTTCTTTTCTTGAATTAATTTCTTCATATCTTCAGCATAATCCTAACCTCTTTTGGTCTTCAATTTCATCCATTCACCTTGCTCCATGCATGTGATATCCATTCCAGGCCCAAAACTGCTCCAAAATGCACCAAAATGCACTTTCTTGCTACTTCAGCCCTTTAGATCTACAAACATACGAAAATAGCTTAAAATACATAAATAACTAAGAACTAACAACATAAATGCATGAAAACAAGCTAACTAAGTCACATAAATATGCTCCTATCAGTTCGAGCGCAGCTAATCTTGAAGCGGTCCATATATGATGAAGTCTGTCTTCCGGAATTTACTGTTTTGATTCCCAAAAGAGAGCTGAAGCCTTTTTGCCTCGCTGACCAATTTTTTCAGAGCAGGCGGCACCACGAAGGGATCCTCATATCTATCATCTATCACCAAAGTGTGACAAGAAACACGAAGTATCTTTTCGGTGTGCCTTTCTATCATGAGGAAGTTATGTTGATTCGTGCTACATTCCATAATAAGATTTATTTTGAACCTATGCAAGGGTTGGATATTTTTACGTCAGGCAACCATTACTGCTAATATCAATTCGAAACACCAGATTGCCAAAAACATCTCAATAAAAAATTTAGACAAAAAACCAATCTCCCTACAGACATCACAACAAATGAAAACAAAGTTTGACCAAATGAAAACGGTTTCACTAATCTCACATCTCTCATTCTTTCCAGATAGGATGCACATTGAATGCAAAACCATGGCAAAACCTGTGCTTAAATCAAATATATAGACAGTCAAATAAACCTCTGGATTTCAGCACAGCTTAAAAAATTAGACAAACATAGATTCCAATTTCATCTTTTTCTACGCATTTTTTTTTTCTTGCAACACTATCGGGTACCAAACACCACCAAAATTGTCCTCATCCACACACAAATATGCATAGTGACAGTGTGTGGGGCATATATAGAGCTGTAAAAATAAATTCAATATAATACTCTTAAGGACACCCAAGCAATCAAATCCCTAATCACTCAAGCAATCGCAATCAAATCCCTAAACACTCAAGCAATCGAATTCAATATTTCTCAACAAATTAAATGAAAATAAAATACAAAAATTATAAAAAGCAAATGAAAGTAATAAAGCTGCAAAACTAACCAGAAGAAGTTCAAGATCCGATTGAAAAATGTAGTAAGAGTATACCTTTTCAAATTGAAGGGATCCATTGGATCCCAACTAATAAACACATGTAAATAGTTGAATAAGAATCCCTAAAATCTGCAGCAACCAACAACCAAATATACTCACATTAAACTCCATCAACATGACTTTGGAAACACCAAATGCCCATTTGGAAAGCCTTGAATTGAATGATTAACAACTCAATGCACCACTGTGGATAACG